TTCCAATTTCCAATTACCCCTATATTATGCTATATGTGTGTCTTAAACGGTACCTTACTAACCACCAAATTCACAAGGGCAAAATGAAAATAATTAAGTATTACGTTGCAAAATATATTGCACAGTTCGCAATTTAAGTCCAGACGGAAGATAAATTTGCAAATTTGATTTGTAGTAACTTGGATGTGATAAGGCGAATTCACAAAACGAATGTGTATTGAATCACATAAATGAAGTTCCGGCGAAGTTTACAGAAACTGCATTGATTCCATATTGATTCCGTTGTATGAATTTGTATCTGACCGTTTTGGTTTCGCTTAAATGTAGAAAAGTCCAGTCATTGAAAGACTTAATGTCGTATCATGCCGGTACCTCAACGATCTAATAAAATTTCCACTAGATACGTTATCCACTAAAAATGTTAGAAATATTTTCTAAAAATATCCCAGATTATCATACGTCTAGCCCTGTAACATATGACGTTAAGCACTTCAATAAATTTCGTTATTGTACTTAGCATGACCCTTCCACCTGAATAATGAAAACATAAACGAAATAATCGCGGAGCGTGTGCCGAAGCGTACAATGTACGAAAACCTAACTTCCGGTATTTTGTTAGAAATCGTAATATTTAAATTTTTTCGAGGACGTTGGAAAGTATAGGTTTGCTAAAATATCGCTTTCGCTTTCTTTCAGAACTAGTTTGCCGTCAGTGACGAAATTTGTATAATCGAAAGCACGACACGCGCACACTCTGCTGACGCAAATAATTTGTTCAGTTAGTGGATATTACAGACCATAACGTTCGTCACACGCCGGAACCACTATGTCAACCAGGTCAACTATAACTTCCAAATTACAGAAAAAAAATGCAATTCTCCGAAAAACGCTTGCAAATAATTTGCTAAATCTAAATTACACCGAGGCAGCTTTCAAAATTAGTTTTCGAGCATCTACAATCGCATTACAAACATCTGCACCGCATCTGCATAGACTGTCATACTTTGAAAATGGCAAATTGAAAAAGAACACGCTCATTGCTTACAATTGCGTAAAATTATTTATTATTATTATTATATTATCGTCACTATTTGACTATTTTATAGTAAGATCGCACCACGAGTTTTAAATCACAACTCATTCTCCATGGACAACAATAAAATAGACTAATTTGAGCAACGACTAACAACCTAGATGTCATTTCAG